GCACTGGCAATGGGTCCAAGATCTAACACTAATGCCCAAACTGACTTAGTAGAGGCCATTGTATATGGAGAGATACCTTGCTCAGTGTAGACACAGGGGTATGGGAGTGGAGAGGTGCCTCTGTCCTGCCTCAACTAGATGATGGGACAGACTTAGTACACTTCCTAAGGGAGATCTTACCCTCTTCATGGAGCAGATGGGAAGAGGGAGGCCTGGGGGAAGTGGGAAGATAAGAGGAGAGAGAATTGGGATGGGAATGTAAAAAATACATTAATAAAAATGCAAATGAATGCTCTCAGGAATATTAATAACAATTGATGAAATGCAAATGAAAACTAGATGTCATCTCACATCTGTTAATGTGCATTAGCAAAAAGAAGACAGTATGTGCTGACAAATATGTACAGAAAACAAAATTCTTATGTGTTGCTGGCAGGTAGGTACGTAAGAGATGAGAATCTATGCACATTCCTCAGGAAAAAAAATCTCATATGACATATTGATCCAGCTCTGAAAATACACAGCCAGTGAAAACAATCTTGACAGCTAAGAGATGTCTGTACTGTGAGTTTATTTTAATATTACTTAAGAGTTAAGACATGGAGTCAATCTAAGAATACACTAACAAATGATTGAATAAAGGAAATGTTTGTGTGTGTCTATACAATAGAATATGACTGAGGCCTACAAATGATACTCTCCCAGTTGTAACAAAACAGAGGAAACTAAACTAAGTGAAACTGCACAAAGAGGCAAATACCACACAATCTCAGTGCAATGCGGAAACTGGATACACTAAACTCACAGAGACAGTGAATAGAAGGGTAGTCATTAGGAGTAGGTGGTGGAGTAGGTAAGTGCAGACATGTACTCATTGGATCCTGACCTTTGGTTATATAAATAAGTCTCAGTTTAATGTATAACATGGAAGCTATGAAGTTATTTGCATGTATTATTCATTTGAAGCCAGCTTAGAAAAATCTGAACCAAAAAGGACTGTTAAAATGTTTTATTTGTAGTGGACACTTCACAATACATGTCAGGACATCATTAATGATTTATGCCTCTAATATATACAATTGTATCTGTCAGTTGTATAATCAGTAAAAGCCGAGGTGGGGACACAAGAACTGGAGGGCTATGGAAAACTTAGGCATAGGAGAGAAAAATAAGAAGCAAGCCATAAAGAGTGAGCAATGAATATTAATACTTATTTAAAGTCCACTGCTTTAAAAAAATAAGTATTCCCTCTTACTTTTTGAAAGAGAAAAATACAACCTGATGTATTGACTCCTTGATGAGGTATGTACACTTACAATTCTGTAAACCAAGGGTTTAGGGCAAAGAACCATAGTGGCCAGGGACATCAAGGTCACATAATACAAATGACTGCAATAACTGGATATGGACTACCATGACTGAGACTGGTAGACTAGAAAACACACTAAGGAGGAGAGAGGGTTGCCCAGATGTACCCTCAGAAACATCAGCCCACTTCGCTACATCTCCTGTTCTTTGTGGGGGCCAGATTTCTTCTCTTGACTAAATCAAATGAACAGATGCGGATATTTCAGAAACAATGTGAAATTGTCATTCTTGCCCATCCAGTAAAAGCAAATAGCAGCTTTGTCAAGTGATGCCTGTAGAAAATAAGGCTCATAATGGTTAGGTGCTCCCCTTAGCTATCACTGTGGAAGGTGGGTCCCTAAAAATGCATTCACCTTGACAAGAAATTTATTAGAGAACGTCCTATCAGTGGATAGATCCAATACCACCAGACCCAATTTTCTGCATCATTCATTATTTGGGGGTTCATTTTCCTCGCACCTTTACTCCTCTCAAGGGATCAGTGGTATGCTCTAGCCAGCTATCCCCATTGAGTAGAAAATCCCCAAGTGTGACAGCTTATCTCACCTAGCTGGTATGATGGGAAAAATTGAAGGCCAGCTCAGTAGTAATGCCTTGGGAACTTGCAGTCACGGAGTTTATGTCTGTCTGAGCGACTGGTAGTAAGGCAAGTCCTAGCTCCTAGGCATTACTGCCCCAAACATTTAGGGAGGTGATGAATGGAATTCAACTCTCAGAGGCTTTGATTACTCAGCCTAGATATGTCAAGAATTAATGTTTGCTGATATCACTCACAGTTATAAATTTATCTTCTCAGGTGATTGCCACCACACTAATCCTAATCTTAATTGTAGTGCTTTTACCAGGACTCCAGCATTCACTAAAGAAACAAGATACAGTATTGAACATTGTGTGCATGGTTTATCTCGGTTATCATATCAGTGAAACAGAAAACCAAACTGAAGATAATTATCTTTTCATTACTCCACGCCATTTAGCATGACTCTCGATCTCAGTCAACTGGGCATGAGTTTTCTGATGTCAAAGAGTAGAAGGAGTTGCCCATGAAACACAGCAGTGGTGATGCATGGTGGAATGAAAGAGGAGAATGGAAAAGTGCTGAGTTGTATTGTTAGAACATGAGGAATAACTGAAGGCTAGAGTCCAGTGATAGCCAACCTTCATCATTTCCATCTTCCTTGACAGCAGAACTACAGTTTGTTTGAATACCATAATCTCTACCTTCACAGAGGAGGGTCTATAGACTAACCCTAAAGGTCTAATAATCTGTCCTTTATTATTTTCTGTCAACACATTTGTTTTTTCTTATCACATTCCAAAGAGATGCAAGTTCTACTTCATAGCAAACAACTCCCCATTTCCCTCTGTGACTCCCAGTGTTCTCCAAGAGAAAAATGTATTCCTTTGAATCACAATCTCATACCTCTTTCCAGCAAATCAAGACAGCCTAATTGCAGGAAAAGACAGAACTTTTGTAAGTTAGATATTAAATAGATGGTTGTAGAGAAAAAAAATCCTTCAGGGAAAGGCAAAGGTATTTTATGCTTAAGGGATTTTTTTTAATGAACACTATATATGGCTCCAGGTCTATGAAGGTCAGAGAAATGCAAAGTAATGACAGAGTCAAGTAGAGACATCAATGGTTTCTTGGAAGCAGGCAAGGAGGGCAGAATGGTTTGATGGGATAGAGAGCTTAAAAAGGGAACACACAGAGACTCTTTGTGGTGGTCGACATGTTCATCATTTTTACGGTGGTGAGGTTTTTTATGTGTACTCGTGTATGTGGTGCACACATGCAAACATTTTCTAAAACCAATTTTAAAAAGATTTTGACAGGCCTTGCTGGAGGGCTTAGAGATGTATTGTAGACGTGATAGGAATGGAGTGTTTCTACAAGTAGAGGGACTTAGCATCACGAGTGGGATCCAGTCTACTACAGCCCTGGACATAAAATGAGCCGCTACACCAAGTTGCTGGATTTCATTAATTATGTCAATTGATGTATATTTTGTAAATGATGATTTAAGGAACTTTCTAGTCAGTCTTGCTTTCATGTGGACAGTGAGGCAAAGTGAAAGACTTAATATGCAAAGTGAAGGATTTAATAAACATTTTCAACCAATGAGCTCTGTTTCTTCACAAAATCAGTAAGTGAAAGCTGCGGAGGCACAGATAGTGATTCACGGGACAAGGTTCAAATATAGGTTAAATATAATTTATTTCGGGGAGAAGTCACTTACCCAAGAAGCAGATGGCCACCGCAAGTACACACTCTAAGGATCCACACAGGCTGCTTCCTGTGACCTGATTGGATGCAATAGAGACAGCCACTTGCTGGGCCCCAAACCCAAAGTCACTCCCAATCAGTTCCTCCCAGTGACCACGCCCAAACAGGCGTGGTCAGCACTATACCGAGTAGCTAGCTCACTACAAAAAGCCTATGTAACAAAGTGATGGGTATTAGCTTTCTCATTATTGTGATCAAATATCTGACAAGAAGTGACTTGGGAATGGGAGAAGATTTATTTTGCCTCACATTTTAACAGTGAAGTCTATGTGTGTTGTGGTGGGTAAGGCAATAGCTGGAAACGGTGGGGGAACAGGTGTGATGCTGCTTGCCTACCTGTCTAATGATCATGAAGTAGAGAGAGCTGAACTGTAAACCTGAAGGCCCTTCCTCTGTGACACACTTCTTCCACTAGTCCTCGACTTCCTAACTATTTTGCAACCTACCAAGAAAGCACTGGCAACTGGAGCCTGATCAGATGACACACAAGACAGGAGGGGGGCAGTTCACGTTCAGACCATAATCCAAACCAACCAACAACTGTAAACATCATTAGCCTCAAGTTTGGTAACCTGGACTAATGAAGGTACATAATTTGAGAGTCATGCATCTTACTATAAGAAAAATGAAAACTTTATGCAAGAGACTAGTAAACAACAACAACAACAACAAAAGAGTTAGATTTCTGGAATTGAAATCTTTGCTCTGTTTTTTAAAATGCATTCTGGACACGTTATTTATTAACAGCTTAATTCACCAATCTGTAAAATGGAGTAGTGGCTTAATTCACCAATCTGTAAAATGGAGTAGCAATAGTTTCTGTCACAATGACAACCTTTAAATTAAATGAAACACGTATTATGCATGAAAGCCAGGACACAGCATTCAGTTATTAAATGCAATTATAAGCCACAGTATCTGATAATGAACTAAATCTAGACAGCATGGGCTACAACATAGAAGCTGTAAATGAAAACCAAAGATCTGATTCATTAGTTCTGTTTCCACAGATGACTTTGAAATGGTCAACGATGAAAAATAATAGTTAATATTGTCTGCCCTTCACAGGTTTAGATCCAGGTTTTTCCTGTGTTCATTATGTCCTAGTTCATTGCATCATATAGAAGCTAGTAAACAGTGGCTACTATCATCTATGCCACAAAGGTAAGGGATATGGTGGGATAATCTTGTTTACAGCACCAAAGCTGTGCTTGTTACCTAAGTCTTCAGGTTCAAATGCCAATTTACCCACCATCTCAATCTACCACCTCAGTGGCTAGCAAGGTAATTTCCCCAGATTTAGATTTCAGAACATTAATTTATTTCCTTCTGATCAGGAACTTACTGGTCGGGACTGGATTTCTTTGGCGTACAGAGGTTGTAAGAATTCTGAGTCTCCTTCTAGCTTCAGACCCTTTTCTGTGATTCTTAAGTTCCCCATTCCATCCTGAAATAGACAAACAGACACAACAGGGAAAACGTGATGAGCTAACATTTCAAAATACCCCAGGCTGTAAAAAACTGAAACAGTTATTGCCTTCTTCTATCTTTTTCTTTTTTTAAATACTTGCAGGAGTGAGATGAGGGGAATACAAACGAACATAAAATACCAGGAGGCATTGTTCAATACAATTATGCATATTATTCTTTTTGCTAACTTATCCCAAGTAAATTCTATTCTGAGAATGCCCCTGAGCCAACAACTTGCACAGAAAGAGGAGGCCCTCATCCCCAGGGCTGCACAGAGCAAAGGAAGCAGGAGGAACAAAAAAGATGACTCTCTAAGTGGAAGTGAACGATGCTATTTCCAAAATTCCTTGCCGAGATTTCACACAAAAGCTTGTGATCAAATTCAGTGTTCGCACATGATTTGTTTGACTCCTCAAACATTGGAGAAGTCTAATCAGTGACTAGCACTTTAAAGGGTATTTGCTGTATCAGTGCTAATTCAAAGGCAGAAATCTTCGGCAGCATCTACGTACTTACCACCCATCTACAACATATCCATTTGTGGTTATTGCTACCCACCATACCCATTGTCTCTTCCCCTTGCTCAAAAATAATCCAAATATCATATATAATTGTAATCCCTCCTGACAATCATGCCTTACTATAAGACATAAAATACCAAATCCTAACAATCATTCAGTGTTAATAGCAAATACCCATATCAATGTTTACACCTCACTGATAATATATTTTCTCTCTAATAATTTACCTATCTGAATGACGTTTTCTACTGTTAGTGGTTGATAGACAAAATACTAGGTAGTTTCCTATAACCTCCATGCAGTATTTCTGTAATGAATTACTTACCTATATTTTCCAAGACAATGAGGTTTCTGTATTCATTCATTCACATCATTCTCATATCCTCCCTCCCTCCCCCTCTCTGTATTTTACTTTATTTTGATAAAATACAAAGTCTTTTCTCTTTCTGTGCCTTATTATCTCAAATAGTTTTCTCTGACTGTGGTGTCTTCTGTAAAACATCAGTTACATCAGGAACCTTGACCAGTCTCAGACTGAGTTTTCTAGAAAGAGTATATCCACAGTATATTCTAGGAAATGGGGTGTATTTGTTTTCTGTTGTTTTAATGAACATAACCCACAAACTTTAGTATTAAACAACACAAATTTTGTAACTAATAGTAATTAATTTTAGAATTCTGCCTAACGGTTCATGGGACTAAATTCCAGGTGCTGAAAGGGCCGGTTCCTTTTAAAAGATTGAATAAGAATACTTTCAGTTGTACAGCTTCTCCAGGACTATCCCAGTCCTGCGTTCATGACCTCTTCCCACGTGCAAAATTAGTAATGGCTAGTTGAATAACCACTGAGCACTATGACAATAGCACAATGTTCTGTGATTTCCTTGGGTTTATGACTTTCCTTCTATGATCACCTGCTCACACAATTCTATCTGCAACTTTAATTCTCCCTAAGAACAGTAGCAACTTTACAAGTTCTGAGAGCAGGGTGTGGCTATCTTTGGGATGGGGAAAATTTTCTGTTTGTTGTGTGGGTATTTTTCTATCAAGAGGTGCATAGCATTCTTGCTATGATGTTATCAAGCTATTGCTGATCTCTGTTAGAAGGAGCCACAGTTTCACTAGAAGTTCCCAACAGACAAATGGCTAGTCCCTTTTGAATTCTTAATTTATCAGATAGAGTAGGCTATTGAGAAAACTTTGATTTAACTCATTATTTACTTTCCTTAAGTTATGCTTTACAGAATTTGGACTTTTATTTTTTATTCATTGGTATTCACAAGACTGAATGGAGGTAGGACTATCAGGAGTTCAAGGTCGTCTTCAGTATACACTGAGTTATAGGCCAGCCACAATGACATTTGCTAGTTTGGTTTATTGAAGAATACGTACAACACAACTTCAGAACCTCCAAACCACGCCCAAGCTGACATTATGACTAATAAAAACTGAAACTTTGCCAGCTCTGAAAATTCTTGAAGCATAGTCTTCTAGCAAAGTATAAACGATGGGGATTCAGTCACTAGAATGCTAATGTGTGTTGCCATGACACATACCCACAATGACAATAGACTTCCCTATCTCTGCACACTGTCGATCACTTTCATGCCATTTTAAAAGTCCTCTTTTGTTTTACAGATTTGTAAACTATGCACATGCTTTGGTTTTATTGCTCTCTGTTTCCTTGTAACATTTGAAAACTGAAATTTCAATGAGCTCCTGTCAATTCAGGGTCGGCCTCTCACACAGTCACTGCCCACAGCCTCCTTGCTTTAGGGACATCACATAGTCTCTCCAGCCTATTTCACTAAGATCCTAGTTCTCAGACTACCACACAGCTTTCTATTGCAGACATGGCCATCAGGTATGTATCTCAATGCATTCAGTATTGCTATTGCTGGGAATGGAACTAAATGACAAGATTGGCAATGGGCACTTTCCCCCACCCCTTTTTATAAACATGAGTCAGCCTATGGATAAGAACAGATCTTAGAGAGCCACAATGCTCCTCTATGGTCCACATTCCTGATATTCTTATTTCTGGCATTTATAGACACAGCTCTGCCAATACAGCCCCAGATGAGGCATTCAAACCCTGAGAGAGAGGCAATAGGATGACAGACATGCATGTGTCTCACCAGTAACAGTAGAACTTGCAATAAAGGGAAAAAGAAGAAATCAAAGAAGAACAAAGATAGAGAAATAAACAAAGCCCAAGAAAGACAGGCTAAACCCTTACAGTAGTAGTTTAGTTTTTATCTCTTATCTCTCATGGCTGCAAATACACCACAACCTTGCCAACTTCCCAGTTCTTCTTAGAGGGTCATAAGCTTTAGTTTTCTAGATCCTTCCTGATCTCTATGTCTGTAAGTTGTTTAAGTAAGGTGATGTGATTGGCCTCTGCATAAGCAAAGCAGAGACCAGGGGTAAACTAAATGTCTGCCCACCTTTAGAGTGTCTCCCTCAGAGACTGCCAAAGATTCATCAACAATATCTTGGCATCAGATTCATCTGAAGTGGCTGCATCTTTAAGTACAATAGTAGTTGAGGGAGGAACTAAGATAGTAGCTGCAGGACAGACCTGAAGCCTAACTGTATTCCTAACTAGATGTAAAGATATATATATATATATATGTATGTATATATCTGTAGATATGTAATGTATTTTAAAAGACACACTGATTTCTCCCCTGTGCAAACAGTAAAAATTCAGTTTTTTAAGTTGCAGGACAGTCAAAGAGCCAGTCTCACCTTAGCAAATTCCCTCACTCAAGAGTGTCAGAGAACCTTCAATGTCAATGGTAACATGAGTGTTACCCCAGTTCTCTTAGTTGAAACCAATACAGGGCAGGGTCTGGTGCTTGGCCAGTTACCAAGACATCTGAACACTCTCAAGCAAAGTGGATATGAATGCTGGCCCTGAGGGCTGGGAGTTGTGGAGTGGTAAGATGTGGTTTTAAGGAAGTGTACTGCTGTCTTGCTCCGGTGATCTTCCTCCTGCATCAGCATCAGCCAGGTTTTAATGCTGTCAGCACATTCAAGTCTTGAAGTGAAGCCAAGTGCTATTTTCGTAAGCACTTGCATGGCAAACTCTTCCTGAAGCAGTTTTAATGGTAGGCATGAATTAGATTTGAACCAAGCAGGAAATGATATTAGGCAATACAAAGACTGCATGAGAATGTGGGCTTGATGGGGTGTATGGCTTTGGGCTGTTTTCTTTACCACTAGACATTCCGTTTCTAAAATCTTGCCTGGGAAGTAGTACCCATTCAACAAATGCTGTGAAGTGAAAGAATTTATTCATTCTAAATAAAGACGTCCTGTAACTTAACAATGATGTTACTTTCTGTGGATTTAGTCGAAACAGATCATAAGTTGAAAATATCATTGGTAGAAAATGTATTTGTTTTATGCAATATGCTGAGCATCACAGTTTAGCACTGGTTGATCCTTGTGATTACAGACTGACAGATAGTCCACTGCTCTATGCAACATACCCCAATAGTCCAGACTAAAATAAACCCACATGAAGTGTGATTCCTACAGAATATTATCACATTCACACATTTTAAAAGCCAAAATATTCACCAGCCAAACCATGTAGAGGTGATAATCTCATGTAGTTACCTTTAGAAATGTAGTGGTTATGTAGAGGTGGGGTTACAAAACTGCTAAAGTTAGGGCCTGCTTCTATACCAGCTTCCAAATTGTTAGAACACACTTTCTCAACCAGGATGGGCAGGCCAAGCATGCAATAATTGCTTAATGATGAGTTTAAGGAATGAAAAAAAACCTTAGGTTTTCTATCTCAAAAGCATAATTGTTTATATATAGGGTACAACTGCATCTTTGGAAGATGAAGTCAATAATGGAAGAATTTAAAAACACTGTTAGGGAATTAGAATTTTTAAGTACAATATTCTTTGCAAATTTCATATATACATATATATATATATATTTGCTCATAGTTACCTTCCATTTTCTATCTTTAATTACTACCAGATACCCTCACCCAACTTCCCAAATTTATGTCCCTCCTACCTCAATCTCTTTCCTCCTCCATTTTAAATAATTCACTCTGTATAATTTCTGGTACTCATATGCACACTGAAATCAAAGTCAATCTACCAGGGCCCACAGCCCTAAAGAAAACTGACTCTGTCAGGCAGTCATAAACTGCAGGAGCTCCTCAGCTAATGGGTGAATGCTTCTGGGCCCCTTCTCAGCTATGCTGGAATTTTGGTTGGCCTAGTCTTATGTAGGTCATTTGCCTGTCATCACAGCTGTCTGTGAGTTCAGGAATATACAAGTTCTATCATGTCCAGAATACAGTCTTACCTAGTTCTCCCAACCTCTGACTCTTAGTCTTTCTGCCTTCTCTCCATGATGATCTTTGGGCCCATGTGTCATGGTGTTAGAATTTCCAGACTGTGTTTTCCCTATAGACTGCAACTTT